TATCCTCGGGGTGGACAAGCTTCTGCCTTAATATATTTTTGGGTCTAAAGTGTGCTCATATGTTGTGTTGGTTGAAAATCCTCATGATATTTTTAGATATTCCTGCAATATATGGAATGACAATGTTGCTTCGTTTGTTGTTCTTTTCTTTAACTATTAAGAAGGAGTTCCTGGATCTTTTTCTAGGTTTGATGGAGGCCCAGTTGGGATAGCCACAAGTTCTGAGAGCTTCCATGATATGTTTACGTTCTTTTTCTTTTCCCTCTTTGCTGATAGGCAAACCTTCAGCCCAGTGTAGGGTTCTGATCACTCCCATTTTGTGCTCCAGTGGATAGTAAGATTCAAATTGTAATACTGATCTCAATGCGTGGGTTTTTTATATACTTGCATCGAGGCTTCTGTCTTCCTTAATGTGTACTGCACAATTCAGGAAAACCAGAATAATTCCCTTAACATCTTCCTATGTGAATTTAATGTATCTGTCCACAGAGCTGATGTGTTTGGTGAAGCCTTCCATTTCCTGTGTTTAAAGATAACCCAAGTGTCATCCATATTCTTATATCAGTGAGTGGCTAGAATTCCTGTGAAGGAGTTTAGTGCTTTGATTTCTACTTCTTACATTCAGAGATTGACCACAATGGGGGGGACACAGGTGCAGCTGTGTTTCTGTCTGTACAAACCTTCATTATATTTAAAATAGGTAGTGGTCAGGCAGAGTTCTGTCTTATAGCAATCGTTTCTTTGCTACCATCACAGCTTTAGTTGTTGGAATGCAAGTGACATCATAGGAAATCATTGTCTCATCTGAATCCAATTTTAGTTTCCAAACCTTGCTGACTAAGTCCTGTGAGTTGTTGATGTGATGGGTGGTGTTTCCAACCAGAGGAGCCAACGTATTGGTTAGATGTTTTGAAATGCTGTATGTGACTGAGTTGAAGTTGCTGAAAATTGGTCTGAGCAGATTTCCCTCTTTGTGGATTTTGGGGAGTTCATATTTAAGGATTTCCTCAGGGTAAAAGTGGTACTATTATGGCTTGTCAATGGGATTGTCCTTTAGTAGTTGTTGCAGGAAATCAATCGTCTTTTTCTTAATAACTGTGGTAGGATCTCTCTTCAGAGTCCCATATGTAACAATGTTCTTCAGAAAACTGTTCACCTTGGCATTGTAGTCATCTGTGTTCAGAATAAAGTGTACATCTTCCTTTATCAGATCAAAAGACGGCGATGTTTGGCTCTCTTCTTAGGGATGTCACTACTCTCCATTCTTGAATTGTGAGGTTGCAAGGAGGTGTTTTGGCACTGGCGAGGGCTGCAGATACCTTCATCCTTGTTATGTCTCTGGTTCTGCCAGTTTGTTGTTCTGCAATTCGTGCCAAAGCATCCCCTTCCAACCTCACAATTCAAAAAACAGGAGCAGAGAGGCCAAAGAGGCCATCTATGTTAAAACTGCACAACCTTTGCTCAAGAGAGGGGAAAAGATATCACACCAACTATCTCCTGTCTATAATACAGTCCTTTCAGCAGTCCAAGAAGCTTTCATATCAATTTGCACTCTGATTTAGGTTATCCTGGGTGTACACATAAATCTCCCAAGTGGCCTCCATGACTCTCAGACAGCTAATGACTTACCTTCCAAGTGCTAATGACCAGATGATTGCAAAGAATATAAATTATTTCATTCCCTGATCATTCAGTCAGAACTGAAGGAGCTTTGCAGATGAAAAGCAAAAATTTTTCAAAGAAAAAAACCCAAGAAAGTCGAGTGGACTTTTGGAAAAAAAACTCCAACCTTTGGGACAACCAGGACCTGGATGATTGAGATTCTCCATTGACCTGTTTGCCATAGTAATGTACTAGTCAAAAATGCACTTCAGCAAAAGAAAATTGACCTTCAGACTTTCCCCTGACATTTCCACTTTTGTAAACTTTCTCCCTTAGTCTGGATTGCTGAAAACACATTTTAAGAAGTCCTGTGACATATGTGGTATTTGTGATACACTGTGAAAACCCGGCATCATAGAGAGATGTCTGAAGAGTAAAAATGAGGGCAAGGGGCAGGCTTAAATGCTTTCTCAATGTAATCTTCAGGGGTGGAATGGAGGAATGGTTGTGATATAAAATTAACTATACATGTTTCTTGCTTCCAAGGTACGGATGAGCAAGCAATCGTTGATGTTGTTGCCAACCGTTCAAGTAATCAGAGGCAACAAATTAAATCTGCTTTCAAGACTATGTATGGCAAGGTAAAATGGTTGGTTATATTTTTCTAAAAAGGTAGTCCTTGACTTATAACTATTCTTTTAATGACAAAGTTATAGCAGCACTGAAAAAGTGACTTACAACTGGTCCTTGCACTTAAGTTTGTTGCAGCATTGTTACTGTTATGTGATCAAAATTTGGCAACTGGCATATATTTATGATAGCTGCAGCACACTGGAGTCATGAGATCGCCATTACAACCTTCCCAGCTGGCTTCTGACAAGCAAAGTCAGTAGGGAAGTTTGATTGGCTTAATGACCACACAATTCACTTAATAACTTGAGCAATTCATTTAATAATTGTTGCAAAAAAAGGTTGTAAAACTGAGTGTGACTTATTTAACAACCATCTTGCTTAGCAATGAAATTATGGTCCCAATTGTGGTCATAAGTTGAGGACTTCCTGTAATTGACAGATGAAGAGCAGCAATATGGCAGGATATTTTGTCTGTTTGTTGGAGCTAAGAAAGATCTAAAGGAAATTAACACTCAATAGTTCAGTGATAGTCTCTCATCTGAATGTCCTACAATTTTCAAGGAATTTTCTCCTACAAAATGTCCTACAAAATGTCCTACAATTTTCAAGGAAGATCCGCTCTCCATTCTTCATCTGATTTCAAGGAAGTAAGAAATGAATTACCACTCGAGTGTTTTGCTAATTGGATGTGACATCTGCTTGCACTCAGCACATGCAGATAGCCCTCTGGTTATGATCACTCATTCAGCAACCATTCAAAGTTTTGATGGCACCAAATGAGGGAAATTTATGACTGGTCCTCAGAGGTCCAGCTATTGCTGCTTTTTTACATGCCCCCACTTAGGCATCTGCCCGAGCACCCCTGCCTGCCTGTAGCTCTTACCATCAGTCTCATTCACCAGCCTGTTTGCCTGGGGCTCCCATTTCTTCCCACTTAATGATTACACATTTCTGGAATTAACAAGGGCAACCGGGATTACTGGGATTGTTATCGCTATGTAATATGGTCATCTGACATTGCACTATGATCACATTGCTTAGTGATGGAAATTCAGGCCCAAATTGCCATTGTAATCCAAACTACCTGTGCAGAGGAAGGAAATTCAGATGTTGTCTTTTGGACAAGACATTTTTCAGAAGCAGTGAACTGCCTTTTAATAAAATGCAAATCTAGTTTTGGGGTGAGCCAGTTTAGTTGGGAATATCTGAATTGCTTGCATTATAGGTTGATATTTTACATTGCTTTATTTATTTATGTTTTCTTAATTGCTACAGTTATTTGCTTCTATTGTTTGCGGTAAGTATGCTTATGCATTGCAGCCCATACATAATAATGTTGCTATTATGTTCATTAAACTGTTATTGTTATTCAGTCCTGTTTTACTAATTAAACACTGTGTTTAAGTTTTGCACTTAATAATTGAAAGTAATTGTTTAAAAATAAATAATTGGAGCCTCCTAATACAAATAAACAAATGTAAAACAAGTCATCTATTTCCTTAAATTTCTCTTTGAAATGTATCTTACTCTAGCTAATTTTTTTCCTAAGTATATGTTCAAATATATGTTTAAGGTTTTGTGAATATATTTCCTTCTGATACTTATTTTGATTACTGAACAGGATTTAATTAAAGACCTGAAGTCAGAGCTAAGTGGAAATATGGAAGAACTGATCCTTGCATTGTTCATGCCACGTACCTATTATGATGCCTGGAGTTTAAGGCATGCAATGAAGGTATGAGTTGATTTTAAAAATATTAGGTGCAAAAATAAAAGCAGTGAGATCAAAATGATTGTAAATTTTCACTTAGACAAAAACTATGTCAACTTTTTAGCAAAAAAAAATAGGTAAAAGTTATAGGGAGATACGCTGAAACAATGTAAGATCGCTGTTGGATAGAAATTTCTGAGGGAAGTTTGGGGATATCTATTGCATCAAAGTTCCTAGTTTGAGCAAATAATGGATATTAAACTCAGTTAAAAACAGAAGTTAATTATGCAGAAATTTAAAAATAATCCTGGTTTAATGTTATAAAGACATTCATGTATGTTTTCCCAAATAATTCCTTGAACCAGAAAGGCTGGGATGTTTTAATATTTATTTTCTTTTTAGTGTTCTGGAAATTTGCAACTTTAACCTTAGACTGAAGCTTTAATTTTTCCATTTGCCTGGCACACATCCTTTTTGCTTAAATATCTCAGTTTCAACAAGACATTTTTTTAACCTAGATAAGGAAGGTTTGAAGACAATCACATTCTTCCCTCTGTAACTATAAGGATGTCTGAGATAAAATATTGATTGGAAAGGCTGACAGAGAGGTGCTGTGAGTGGGCTGTAACTTCACAATTAACAGGTAGCTCCTGCTGAATGATTTTAATTGGCACCAGGAGTTCTACTAAGCAGAGTAAAGTATTTGCTAGGTGGAAATTAACATGACTGACTGTACTATGTAGCTGGAAAGACACAAGACTACCGTATTTTTCAGAGTATAAGATGCATTGGAATATAAGATGCACCAAGATTTTAAAGAGGCAAATTAAAAAAAAATTGTTTGCACTCTGCAGATCTCCCCAAAATGGCCTGTTTTTTGTGAAAATGAGCCCGTTTTTTGTGAAAACGAGCCAGTTTTTTGTCAAAAAAGGGGCATGCATAACCTTTAGGAGGCTTATAGAGTGCTTCTGGGGGCTGATGGGGCAAAAATGAGCAAAAAATGGCCTGTTTTTTGTTCTCCCAAGTCCCCAGGAGCAATCTAGAAGCCTCCTAAAGGCTATGCATGGCCATTTTTGCAAAGGGGGCGGGGTTTTGGGAGGCCAAAAATGCTGTATTCAGTGTATAAGACGTGTCCAGATTTTTACCCTCTTTTTTGGGGGAAAAGGGTGCGTCTTATACTCCGAAAAATATGGTAATTAGTTTCACACTTTCAAATTTTGTTTGGTACCTAGTCACTCTCCTGCCCTTTGGAAGACTGGCCTCCATATGAGAGCAATGCAATTGCACCAGCAGCAGCAGGAAAGCGGCCGGCAAAAGAGAGATTGCCCACAAAAATTGCTCACTTTTTTCTTCCCTTCCCTTCCTCACAAAATGGAGAAATTGGAGAAGTGATTTCCAGAGAGCACTACTGGCTCTCTGCATAGAATGCTTGCAGCTCCCAGCAACATGACCTCATTGCTTTCAATATGTATAGAACAATTAGCAGGCAGGCCAGGCTTCCAAATGTTGGGGTTAGGTTAGGAGGCAAACAAAAGTGTGAAACTGACTGGTCTTATCTTTTTCCAGCTGAAAAGGAAAGTTGAAATCAGGTGATTTCCCACACTGACTACTTTGCTTACCAGTAGAATTGCTGATCTCATAAGGGTCGTTAAGTGAGGACTAGCTATATTGTGAACTTTTTCAAGGTTGTGTATAATTATATAACTCTCTTTTTCTGAGCCAGATCAATGTGATTTCCTCTCTGATACTATATTCCTACCATTTTGGTACTCATTTTATCACTTGCTTCTCTTGCCATGAATCACATTCACTGCTGCTAAAATAAAATTCCCCACTTTATATTTAAAATAGATATTTGCATTCAGTTTTCTTCCCTTAAAATAAAAGAATCTTGCATTACATAGCACTTTCCTTGAAATTTTCCTGTTATTTCCATTTCCTCAATGGTTTTCCATATTGATTAGAATCAAGTCAAAGGTTTCTGATCTTGAAATCCTTCTAAGGAAGAATATCATCACAAGATACTCTAGAGCAGGGCTGTTAAACTCCCAGTCTGTGGGCCAGATGTGTCATGTGCTGGCCCCGCCCACGTCTGATTTAGTGAAGGGGAAAAAAGTCTTGATACATCACATGATGCCACTATGATGACGTGAGTTTGACACCTCTGCTCTAGAGCATTAATTCATTTGAATTTCTGAGCAAGAATGAATATTTTAACCCATATTTTCCTCTTCTTTTATTGCTAGTAGAGCAAAATGATATTTGTTCTGGGAATGGTTTTACTAGATCTTATTAGATCTAAATGTTATGCCTGTCAAATCATGTTTATCTTTTATGTGGTCACAGTTCTGCAACTTCCAATGTGGGTACCAAAAATGTCAACAGGAACTCAAAAGCTCTGGTTCCCATCTACAGTTCTCTATCCCCTACTCTATTTATAATGGAGGCCTGGCTGGACCAGCCATAAGCTTCAGTAGTGGAAATGGCACCTGTTGTGCCCTGCCAGCGGCCAGTGGTGCTGGCAGCAGATTTGGACAGTGATGAGGTTGGGAGTCTATGCCAATCATCAGCTGCCTTCAGAGTCAGACATCAGTGAAGCAGACGAACAGCTGGAGTCTGTTCCCAGTGTGTGCATGTGCAGAATTGCCAGACGAAGGGAACAGCTAAGGAACGGGTCGACTTGGGAGTAAGGCCACAGGTGGACGGTGAATGGCCCCTTTCAGAGGAATTAAAAGAGGAGCGAAAGGGGAGTGGAGTTTGCAGGAGACAATTAGTTCACTTAATTGGTTCGTGACTCCCCAAGACTCCTTGCCAGGTTTTGCAGATATCAGCCTGGCAGGTGATTAAAGATGGAATCTAACACTGATTTATTTGGGAGTTGGACATTGCATAATGTGGCTTATGCTTACACTATTATATGAAGCAGCTTAGCCTAGATGTTGATGTACCATAAAAGACATATATGACCATTTTTCAAGCATTTTTTTTGGTGCCGATATGGCAACTTTGTTTTTCTGCTTTCAGGGTGCAGGTACCCAAGAAAATGTATTGATTGAAATTCTTTGTACAAGAACAAATCAGGAGATTCAAGAAATAGTCAAATGTTACAAGAATGAATTTGGAAGAGATATTGAGCATGATATTCGGGCTGATACCTCTGGTCATTTTGAACGATTACTTGTATCTATGTGTCAGGTGAGATAACAACTGCATTCTCTCATAATATATTTGCTTGTGAAGCATATTCATATACTGAAATTTGGGGTATTTGCTGTCACCCACTACTTTTTAGCTTCCTGTCATCTATATATCCAGCCAGGTACATTTCTTGTTTTAGATGATAAATAGAAACTGACCCATAGGAGAAGTAGCATAGGTTCTCATAATTTTCCATAGGTTGTATTTTCCCATAGGCAAGTTGACCCTTACAACATAAAATCTTTGGGAAACAGTGAGTAGAGATGAAAGAAGGCAAAACCACAACAGATTTAGAAAGGATTAGCAGTTGAAGATAGGTTGTTGATTCAAGAAGACGCCAGAGCAAGGTTTTCAGAAGTGCAGCAGAGATCTTAGGAGAAGAAGGCCCATTGAAGAAAGGCAGTGCTGTGGGATGACTTCCATAGGCTGCTGAAGAGTGAAAGCCAGCTACCATAACTGCTCCTTCAAAGGGATGACAGTGTCAGTTCTCCATAGATCCCTAACGGGACGCTGCCATTCTTTGCTATCACTCTTTTCCAATAAAAGTTCTATTTGAAATGCTACCTGTTTCAAGAATTTTGCTTTCTTGAGGGGACCGCTGAGGCAAGAACTTACATTAGGCAGGATCTGAAAAGTGGTCAATCCAGAAAGGTACCCATCCTATTGTGGGGACTATGCATAAGGTGTCCAACCAGGGGAGCAAGCACGAAGAAGCTGAATGCTGGGGAGAGACCTCCAGCAAGGTCAACCTGATGCAGCCTCCAGCGAACAGACAGAGGAAGCAGCTAACCTGGAGGACCCCATGAAGCTGAGATGTCAGTTGACATGCAGAAGAAGGAGGACTGTGGAGGAAGGGCCAAAGGGATCACCCACACCCGAGGCAGCCAGCAGCATGGTTGAAGATGGGACAATGATGATGACCTGGAGGAAGAACCACACCATGCATTTCATGATGGAAGCTTTCCAGAATCTGAAAACACAAGAGGCCATGGCCCGAATGGACAGAGATGAGGGAGAACAAGGAGAAACCGCAGTTGGGAGGGGGCTAACCTGGCTAAAATAGTGGAACCTGTGGATGGACTGGAAAGAAGTGCTTCTGAAATTCCCAAAGGGACAGCAAGCTCCATGCAACATCAGCTTCAAGGCAAGAGATGAGCCTCACAGAGAAGTGGTAGCTGCATCAAAGGGAGAGCAGCTGCTGGGTGAGCCCCAAGAATACCAGGACTTAACTGAAATGTTCAGTGAATAGAGCTCCGATGAGCTCCCACTCCACCGTCCCAGAGACTGCTATTGAGATCATCCCTGGGCTGAGATCATCCCTGGGCGTTTGAGTATACCTTGACGACATAGTGATTTACACCCAGACAAAAGCAGAGCACATGAAGTTGGTCAGAGCATTCCTAAACAAACTGTATGCTAAACTGTCCAAATGAGAGTTCCCCAAAGACAAGATAGATTACTTGCGGTTCTGAATCTCCTATGAGGGGTGGAAATGGATCCAGATAAAGTGAGGGCAGTGCTGGATTAGGTACCTCCCCACACAAGGAAATAACTGCAGAGTTTCCTTGGCTTTGCCAACTTTTACAGACAATTCAACCTGTAGCTTGCCCAGATTGCCCTCTCCATCACTAACCTGCTAAAAACAAAGGGGGTAGACAAGCCGAAATCCAGCCAACCCTTAAAATGGACAATGGAGTGTCAAGTGGCATTTGAAAAGTAAAAAAAAAACTTTTAATTGAACTGTTGCTAAGGCACCTGAATCCGGAAAAGCCTTTTGTTATTCAGGCTGATGCCAGCGATGTAGCCATCATGGCTGTCCTACTGCAGGAGAACGCACAGAGCCAACTACAGTTGTGTGCATATACCTCCCAAAAATTAACTGAAACTGAACAATGTTGGGCAGTGTGAAAGAAGGAGGCCTATGCCATTTGATGGGCTCTTCTCACTTGGAATTTCCATTCCCACTATCAGGGTTGCAGGAAGCCGTTGCAACTGAAAGAGGAACTTAGGAGGGCAGCACTCAGCCCTTCTGAGCTCCTTTTTGTTGGCAGAGGCACTGCGGGCCAGTCTGTCGCTGTTTCCAGGTTGGCCCCAGGGACCAGATCTAAGCATCCCGTGGGCCGGATGTGGCCCACGGGCCTTCAGTTATACAGGCCTGCAATAGATCCCTATTGAGATGCTGCCATTCTGGCGGAAGGCCTTGGTATTTGTATGACCCGCTACCTGCTTTGGTTTTTCTTTCCTTTGAAAGGGCTAGGGAGGAGGGAGGCATTGGTTGGAGCCACCTATTTTGTCTCAGCTCCAAAGAAGATGAGAAAACAACTTCTTATCACCAACACCAAGAGCCAACTTCTTATCACCAACACCAAGGTGGCGCAGTGGCAACCAAGGTGGGTGCAGTACTGCAGGCCACTTCAGCTGACTGTTATCTGCAGTTCAGCGGTTCAAATCTCACCGGCTAAAGGTTGACTCAGCCTTCCATCCTTCCGAGGTGGGTGAAATGAGGACCCAGACTGTGGGGGCGATATGCTGACTCTGTAAACCGCTTAGAGAGGGCTGAAAGCCCTATGAAGCGGTATATTAAGTCTAACTGCTATTGCTACTGCTAACAACTGGTGATTGACTGTGGGGAGGGGCAGTGGGGAGGGGTTGGCAGTGGGGAGGGGTTGGAGCAAGTAACTTTTAACCTAACCTAGCACAGTAACTTCAGTTCACATTTATAAAAGAAATGCTCTAAGAAAAGTATTATTGAATATGTTAATTGTTGAATAAATTCTGCCACAGCCCACCCCCAAATCTTTCAAGTAACGTAATTGGGGGATTTTGTTTTAGTTATGTAACACATGTTAAGAGCCATCTTAATCCTCTGCTTATAAAATTACATTTTATAAATTGTTAAATGCTTAAGGAAGCCAATTTCCTTCTTTCCTTTATTTTTTTAAAAACTTATAAAAACATGGTAAAGAGCATGAAATATGAAACATTGGATTTAGAAATGATGCATGACTAATTTCTGTTTTTGATGGATTCTTAATAAAAGTAATTTTACAAACAACATTGTGTGACTAATTTTTTTTAGAATTCAGTGGTTTTCATTGTTTATATTGTTAAGTGATTAGTGACGAGTGAAAGCTAGTGTGCAGTGGTCGTGATACATGGTTTTTCTTTGCAGGGTAATCGGGACGAGAATCAAACTGTAGATTATCAAAAAGCTCAGCAGGATGCGCAACGACTTTACCAAGCTGGGGAAGGAAAACTGGGAACAGATGAGTCTTGCTTCAACATGATCCTCGCAACCAGAAGCTTCCCCCAGCTGAAAGCCACTGTGGAAACTTATTCACAGGTATAACAAAGAAAGATTGGGTGGGGCACCTCTAGTAGACTGTTGCCTGCAAAAGGGGGGAAATGATTTTGCTCCACCAGCGGTTTTTATACAGTTTCTTTCATTTTCCTGACATTTATTTGCAGATAGCTAACCGTGATTTATTAAGCAGCATTGGCCGGGAATTTTCAGGAAATGTAGAGCGTGGCTTGAAGGCTATTTGTAAGTTATTTTCACATTTTTCAATAAGTGTCCCAAAGGTGCTTTTTCAGGAGGCAACAGGACTTTCTTGTTTTTTCTTTGAAGACATTTCCCTTCTCATCCAAGAAGCTTCTGCTCTGACTGGATGGTGGGAAATGGAAGGATTTATATTCCTTGCAGATAGCTGGTCATTTGCATTCTTTGAGAGGGTTTTTTTTTCCAATAAGTGGTTCCATTAAAAAAGGTCCTATGGCTTGGAGCTGGAATGGAGGCATTCTCACTTCTTCTAGTAATTCTCATTTATCCTTATGATAAATAAAGCAACTCATGATCACCTGTTTTTGTTGTTTTTTTTCTGGAGAATTTGAGATTGCAAGTAGAAAAATAGTTGGACTGAAAGGAAGAGCAATCTTGCAATCAAGGGCTTCTTAATGTCAGGGATTTAGTTCTAGTGCTACCTCTGATTTGCTTTTTTCCCTCTCTTCCATTCTGACAGAGTCCCAATCTGGCAGAAGCCCAATTATATAGCGCACCAAGTTTAAAAATGAAATCAAAAATCTCAACAAACTGAATTACCGCATGTTTTGGAGTATAAGATGCATCTTTTTCCCTCAAAAAAGAGGGTGAAAATCTGGGTGCATCTTATACACTGAACACAGCATTTTTGGCTTCCTGAAACCCCTTTGCAAAAAATGGCCATGCATAGCCTTTAGGAGGCTTCCAGAGTGCTCCTGGGGGCTGGGGAGGGCAAAAATGGGCCGTTTTTTACTCATCCCCCACCCCCAGCTCCCTGGAGCACTTGGGAAGCCTCCTAAAGGCTATGCATGCCTTTTTTTAAAATAAAAAACGGGCCCATTTTGGGGAGGTCTGCAGAGTGCAAAAACTTTTTTTTTTAATTTGCCTCTTCAAATTCATTTCCCTTCTTAAAGGGGCTCAACCAAACCCATATTTGGAAGTGGGGAAAACAGATCTAAATATTATAATGAAAATAAAAAGAATAAGACAAACATTTGCAGTTTATAGCAGGGGTGAAATTCAGCAGGTTCTGAAATTTTTGAGTAGTTCAGCGAACCGGCAAATACCACCTCTGCCTGACCCCAAGTGGGGAGGGAATTGAGATTTTGCAATATCCTTCCCCTGCCACGCCCACAGAACTGGTAGTAAAAAAAATTGAATTTCACCACTGGTTTATAGTAAAATTAAGTTTTGTGTCTAAAGTTTGTATTTGAAAAAGCTCTGCCTTTTTGTGGAAAATGTTTTTTTTAACTTCCCATGCTAACTTGTGGACATATTCTTGGGTTTGCTTTCTTGCAGTACAATGTGCTCTAAATCGCCCAGCCTTTTTTGCAGAAAGACTTCATCATGCCATGAAAGGAGCTGGCACAGATGATTCTACCCTGGTTAGAATTATTGTAACTCGTAGTGAGGTAAGAATGCTTACTTTCTGATAGTATATATAGCTATATGTCTTGCTGTTGCACAATGGATCACTTAACGGATCACTTGAATCACTTAAAAGGTTTTTACACCTTTAATATGGGGTTTAATATTAAGCTGTTCAATTCAATTTTAAAATGAATTGACATCTTTTGGGAGGAAAAAAATAACAATTAAAAACTAGAATAATGTAAGAATTGTCCTTAACTCAATACAGGTGGTCCTTGACTTAATGACCATAAATGAGCCCCAGATTTTTGTTCTTAAGCAAGACAGTTGTTAAGTGAATTTTGCCCCATTTTATTACCTTTCTTGCTGCAGTTGTTTACTGAATCACTGCAGTTGTTAAGTTAGTAACATAGTTGTTAAGTGAATCTGGTTTCCCCATTGACTTTGTTTGTCAAAAACAAAAAGCGAAAGGTGATGAACCTAGGACACATAAAGATGAATAAGTTGCCAAGCATCTGAATTTTGATCACATGACCATGGGGATTTTTCACACAGTCATATGTGTGAAAAATGAGCATAAATCAGTTTTTCAGTGCCTCTCTAACTTTGAACAGTCATCAAATGAACTGATGTAAGTTGAGGACTAACTGTATTTTCCTATTATTGTTATTATTTATTGAAATGAGAAATTCTTTTATATATTTTCTATAAAGGAATTTCTCATGACAGGAAAAAAAAAGCCAGTTGAAAAGTTCATAGTAATGAGAGCATTGGAGCTTTAGTAAAAGCTGTTGCCTGTAGCAACTTAGCTTTTTAAATTAAAGTAATTCCACCAGGGAATGCTTCTTGATCCAGCAGCTTTCTTCTGGACTCACTGAAAATATAAGTAAAAGAAATGTGCCAGTCTCATTGCTCAGAATGACTTATGATATAAAGTGATATAAATAGGGACTTTTTAAAAATAAAAGTATTAATAAGAGTATAAATTTATTTGGTTTTAAATATAACAACAAAAACAAATTGAAAAAAAATAGGCAAAATTATAACAGAAAAAACAATCTGAAAAAAATATACAAAATATATTTTATAGACATACACATATCAATAATTTGAAATCATTATGTATTGCAGTCATTGGTGGTTGATTTATATTAATTCTCCAAATACTGTAGTGGAAAACGTGGTTTGGTATTTCTAATGCTGAACAATGCTTTTGATTGTACATTCCTTTTCTCTGTCCAAAAGTCAGCTCCCATGTGACTGAGATAAATCTCAAGGTTGAGTTAGCACATGTACAGGTAGTCCTTGAGTTACAATTCCATTTGTAACCCGAGGATTCATACCTTGAAAGCGATCACACTCTCCTTTCGTTCACACATTTGCTAATCGAATGTGTGGCTTATTAAATGCATGTGAGGTACCTTGGAATGTTGAAGGCCATGGGGGGGGGAGTGGAGGTTATTGATGGATCAGGGCACCTACGTAAGACCACCCAAGGCATCCCTCAACCCACAGATACCTCATTCCCCCATGGAGTCCCCACAGTTGCTCCCCCCCCCCCCATCCTGCCACAACAGATCACTTCATAGATGAAGCCTGTTTCTTTGCCTGCTCCTTCATTTTTCATCACCAAAGCCTTCATCAAGCAGTTTGGCAGTGAGAAAGGAGGCCCCGTGTGTGCACTTCCAGGCCTCCTTTCTCGCTATCAAACTGCTTAAGGATGGCTTTGGTGATGAAAAAGGGAGCCATTCCTGGCCTCCTTTCTCAAGGCCAAACCACTTGAAGGCAGCTTTGGCAACGAAACAGGCCCAAAGGGCTGCGTGCGCATTTTCCAGGCCATTCTCACCAATGAGCCACTTAAGGCTCCAGTGATGATAAAGGTGCGGAGGGCCACAGGCCTTTTTCGCTGCCAAAGTGCTTTGTGGATTGTGTACCTGTAGGCTTTGGCAGCCCTTTGCCGGTAGGAATATAGCTTCGGAGGGAGGAATTTGCCCCTCCCAAGCTTTGCTGGTGCTGAAAAAGAGTTTTTGCAAAGGGCTGCTGAAGCCTACAGGGATGCAATCTCCCTGCAGGCTTCAGCAAGGAAACAAGAGCAAGGCAAATGGAGGAAGGCGTGAAGGACCAAAACCTTCCCTCCATTTGCAAACATCCTGGCCTCAATTTGCAGAGAATAGACTCCTAAAGTGCCCCTTGGAAGCTCCACTCGGCCTGCAATGGGTCAGGGGAGGCCCTTGGAGCCCCAAACGGAGTGTTGGAGGGGTGAATCCATTCACCATCCTCCGGAAGCTCCATTTTGGCCTTTAATGGGCTGGGTAGGCTCGTGGAGGCCCCAACAAGCATCAGAGGGGCAGATTTGGCTCGAATGGAGCTGCAGAAGGACACATATGGCTGAGAGGCTAGAAAGGAGACTGCTTTCTAGATCTTCACATGTTAGGTGACCGGCTTTGCAGGTTGGGTGGGTGGGAAGCAATTGTGGGGTGTATGAGGCCGAAACAGAGCTTCTGAGTAGTGACTCCACCCCTCAAAAGCTCCATTTCCACCTGCAACGTGCCAGGTGAGGCCTCTGGAGGCCCAAACGGAATGTCGGAGGGGCGAATCAGCCTTTTGGAAGCTCCATTTTGGCTGGCAATGTTCAGGACGAAAGTTGCAGAGCCTCTGCAACTGTTCGTAGGGGCAAACAACTGTCCTGGTACTGCAAGATTCATAGTTTTGGGACTTGTTCACAAACATTAGGGGGTGCTTATTGTGTAACTTCAAGCATTCGCTAAGGGAATACTTCTAACCCGGAGATTACCTGTAGTGTCCTTTCAATCTGAAGCGATGGCTTTACATTTCTTCCATGTTGTATTTTTATTCTGTTTCTATTGGGACAGATTGATCTTGTACAGATCAAACAGCTGTTCACACAGATGTACCAGAAGACTTTGGCCACTATGATTTCAAGTGACACAAGTGGGGATTACAGACGGTTGCTCTTGGCCATTGTGGGTCAGTAGGAAGCACTCTCAGAAAGTAAAACAAGAGCTGCAAACAGCCGACGATCACTACCAGCTATCAAGAGCGTATAAAAATATAAATTATCCTAGACAATTAAGTATGCATCAGGTTCTTTTATTTTTCACATATAATTGCTTTAATTTAGCTCATCATGTACTTTACAATAAACCTGCTGCCTAAATGTGCCTGTTCTGTATTGTCACAAAGGCTGTTACTTATTTCATACTCCTGTGTGCATTGCATAATGTTGTTTACTCTGAGAAAGGAAATGATAAGAGCTACACTCAGACAATGTAAGCATGTTCAGTTTTTGAAATTGTCCATAAATTTTGAAATTATGACATTGTGCATCTTTATTATGTCTTGTAAAAACCCAAACAGAGTATATTTCCCATGAAAAGCAGTTTTATAATTTTTCAAAATACTATTGTAAAAATTTCAATATTCCAATTTTATTTAGAACCTTGGTCCGGGGTGCCCAAACTTGGGAACTTTAAGACTTGTGGACTTCAACTCCCAGAATTCCCCATGGGAGTTCTGGGAGTTGAAGTCCACAAGTCTTGAAGTTCCCAAGTTGGACACCCCTGCCTTAGTCAATTTATAGTTTTCTAAGATTAAATATTGTTTAGCTATTTGCTGTTTATTTCATATTCTTTAAATTCTAAGCTTATTATTAAATTTTTCTTTCATTCTGGATTGAAGGCAGGTTGAGCTGACATTTTCCAATTTGTCTTTCCAAAAGTCTCTAATAGCTTAGAAATAATTTATCAGTTAATTCCTGAAAGTGATGTCTGCTAACTTAGTATCTGTCAAGATTGAACCACTTTGCTTCTTTCAAACTTTAATGCTTTTCAATTGCCAATGAACTGAGGGGATGGAAGGTGGAAATGAAATGTAGAGAATGAATGCAGAGATTGTGAGAGCATCAAGGAAAGAGAGGGACTGTTTCTATAACAAAAGAATGTCTCATAAATGGACAATCACCCTGGGGTGGGGAGAAGGGGAAAATATTGTTTAACTGGACAAACATTTGCGCGGGAAAACCAGAGTTGGTTTTGTTTTTTTCAGTACCGATATGGTGTATCCAATAAAGTTTTACTTTTGAGAATTTAAATCTCCTGAGAGTGTGTCCTTGTTTATTCACTAGTTGGACAGTTGAGTCTCTGCTGTGATTGGGAGCAAGATGGCTAATCACATTATCTCCTTGTGTTTAACCTTGCAAAAGCTGCTCTCCTTTAGTCTCCTTGCAGGTACATATAGATATGGTCCTGTTAACAGGCAGTCTGCTCTTCCTAGATCCAGGCCAGATTTAGATTCATTTCCTATACAGATCTTCCAAAGTTGATTGCCCTCCAACTTTCAGGGGAGCTGGCACAGTACATATGGTGAACAAAGATGGCTTTGCAAAACCATAAACTAGTGACAATTAAATTAGTATTTAGAAGTTACTATAAGAGACCCCTTTTTAATTACTAAGGTCCAACAGAAAGTCACCCAGATGTTTTACACAGAATTATTCCCTCAGTTTTTAATCTGGCTAATTTGGATGGAGATTTTAATTAAATTATGACTCTTTTTAGTAACTGTGGCATACTTTCAATTTCAAGAAAATCAATCTTTTAAGGAAGAAAGTCCAGGATAGGATAGATTATTCTAGCCTGCTATCTTGTTGACTGTATTGAAATTTTGAAGACATGCCTCCTTGGCAACGGTCCTCAGTTTTGAACAATGAAGATGAAGCGAGTGGAATCTTGTACTCTGTCCAGTACAAACTTCACCTCTTGGCCACTGGCCAAGCAGTCAACCAGATAGGTCTGGACTCTCGCGTCGATCATCATGAAAAAGGGCGTTCACAGGTAAGACCAATGCCCCTTCTCCATGGTATCGACGGGAGAGTCCAGGATGGGACACACCAAAGTCTTGGAAGTCCTATCTGTCTTGGCCCAAAGTGCCATCCTCCTCAATCACCTTCTGAGGCACAGCGATCAAAAGCTGCTTCTGCAGAAGAGTATGCATCAGTCTACAATGGTGGATGAATGACACTGGTGATGTCCACATTGCTGCCCTAGATATCTCTTCTATTGACGCCTGAGTACCCCAAGCAGCTGTAGTAGCCGCACTTGTAGAATGGGTTGTGACCCCCCTGGGCCCTGGGAGAGCCTGGCTCTCATATGCTCTGGCAATACAAGCTCTTAGCCAACGACCCATTGTGGAAGGTATCACCCTGTGACCCAGAGTTGATGGTTAAAAGGATACAAACTGCCTCGGTCTTCCTGAATGAAGATGTTCTAGAAATATAAATGCGGAGGGCTTTCTGTACATCTAAAGTATCGCATTGCCTTTCTAAAGCATGCTGAGGCCTAGGACAGAAGTTGGCAGTATTAACTTCTGTGCTCGGTGAAACAAGAAGCTAACCTTAGGCATAAAGGCAGGGTCCACCCGCAGGACCACCCTGTTCGCATGAAACACACAGAAATCCTTTCTCATTGACGACATTGCCAATTCTAATATAAGTCTGGCAGATATGATAGCCACTAGGAATGACACCTTACAAGAGAGGAGGTGAAGACTAGCCTCCCTTAAGGGTTCAAAAGGTGCTGTGGTCAGTGCCTGTAACACCTTGGGCAAATCCCAGGTGGGATAAAGGTGTATCGTTGGGGGCAGCAAATTAGAGGCGCCCCTGAGAAAGGTTCTAACTCTACTATGGTGAGCTAGAGAACTAAAAAACCCTATACTAATAGAAGAGGCCAAAGTTGCGACCTGTTGTCAAAGTTTGTTTGATGAGAGTCCTTTTTCTAAACCTTCCTGCAGGAATTCCAGTACATCCACCATAGAGGCCAATGTAGGATCTATGTACCCCTCCTGACACCAGGTACTAAATGCCTTTCAGGTTGCATTATAAATGTGGATGGTGGAAGCCGTCTGAAGGGTCTTAATGACATTTGGGGTATATAGAAAGAATGAAAATCAGGATGAGGATATTAACTTCTTAACAGGGCCTTTAAATAGGGTGTATTTTGTCTGCATCGTTCACAACTGTTCTTGTCAGGCCTGCCAGCCATCTTTTCTTTTGGACCTCAGGTCTGCCACACTTTGTTTTATTCTACTATGCATTTTCTATTGCGGGAAAATTGGAGGGGGATTGTAGGGAGTTAGATGATATGTAGCCATAACAAAATTCTTTCTAGAAAGCAAAGGTCATCCTTTGTCTCTGCACCTCTGCACCTGACCAGAACTGGATGGGTGGAAGCTGACAGCATGGCAGTGGAAGATTGGACCATGCGATGGGACTTGTGAGTGTGGGGGCA